AGTGATGAGTGTGTTTGTATCCTGATATCTCTTCTTCTTCTTTTCTTCTTTTTTGCTATCCAGGCTCTTAGAATCATTCTGTCCTGTAGCCTCCCCTAAGCCTTCCACGCTTTGTCCTCTTGGTGATTTCTACAGTTAAAAACCAGTTAACTTCATTTACCAGGTTAAGATGTTATATATATTGCTCACAGGCCAAGCTGTGAGCTAGAATTACACATTCTGTTCTCTTGGTCTGTGATGCAGCCTCTGGGCATTTCCAGAGGCCTATTCGTAGCCTCTAGATCAAATAGCTTCTCTTTTACTAGACTCCATCAGTTCCTTAAAATCATGCTATGTGTTAGAGCGATTTCTGTTTAGACTATAGTATTATGGTACAGCTTCTTGTTTTATCTAACATTTATAATTGCTTTCTTTCCTCTTCTTTTCTCTTCCCTCCCTCCCTCCCTCCCTTCCTTCTTCCTTCCTTCCTTCTTTCCTTCCTTCCTTCCTCCCTCCCTCCCTCCCTCCCTCCCTTCCTTCCTTCCCTCCTCATTTTCCTCTGTACTTTTTTCACATCTTCCAGGAATGTGTATGTTCTCACATCCCCCTTAGTGAGTCTCAGCCAGGTTTGGGTACCACTACCTTAAGGATGATATATGGCTTTCAGATTCAGATAGGAGTCTGAGCTCTGACTCAGCAGCTCTCCTACTGAATGACCCACCAAACCCCTCCACCAATTGGGGCATCAGCTCCACCTGGAAAATGTGGACACGTCATCACTCTCCTGGCCCTGCTGTGAGGCTCCTATAAGGCAAGAGAAATCAATGTCCTGCATAATTAGAAATTGATGGACCATCATTGGAAGATGTTTTCATTATGAATATATGTTTCTGTGCAGCTCATTCCCCACTTTGGGCTGAGCCCTCTACTCGGTGCTGAAAATACAAAGGTAAATAGTGCCAATGCTTGAGGAGCTCCGGGTCTAGAAAGAGGCTCAGACAAGTAAGCAGCGGGTCTCAATTCAGGGCAACGAGTGTGCTGATAGAGACAAAGCTGAGGTTTCAGGAGCCCCAGGGGGCACCTAAGTCCGATGGGAGAATGTTCTCCAGAAAGGTGGCCCCAGGCGGAATACAAAGGATGAATAAAAATAAGCCTGGCGTAGACAGCTTGGGCAGGTGGGGATGGTGTTCTAGGCACCCCCCGTCCCCTGCAGGAACAGAAGCACAGCTGTCTCCCAGCAAGCATACAGGAGCCCTAAGGCATGACAGCATCTAGTAAGCTCACACGTTCAGGAGCTGCCTCCCTCCGGCCCGGGTCCCAACCCGCCACTTGCCAGGGGAGCCCTTGAGTTTCTTTCCCATCAGCTCTCCATCCTCCCAGGGCTCCTGGGGTTGCCCCCGCTCCCCTCCCTCGATGGTCCTGCTTCCACCCTCCGCCTAAGCAGGCGCTCAGCTTCCGGTACCTGGAGCAAGTCTGCTCGAATGCCGTGCCAGCGCCCCCGTCCCAGTGGTGCCTGTGTGAGCCAACCTTCTGGGCCTTTCCGAGGTCAGAAAGTGAGTCACAGCGGGGAAACAGACAAGTGAGGGAACTTTACCAACGAACCTGGGGGCAGTGACCAACGTCTGGGGCTCTGCCGAAGTGCTGCCTGGCCTGGGACGTGGGCTGCCTTGAAAGGAGAGGTAGGACCAGAGTTGGTCCCAGGCCTTTGCTGGCTGACCCTTCTCTAAGATAGCCCTGGCATCGTCTCATCCTCTTTGTTTCTTTATATTCAAACTGGAATTCACTGGGCCTCCCCTCTCTCTGAATGAACCCTCCGCCTCCCTCCCTTGCCCTCGTCCCGCTGTCTCCAAGCATCCTTGAGTCCAGCTGTGTGCCTGGTCAGCGGTGGGGTAATGAGAGAGAAGGGGAACATAAACCCCCTCATGAGGACATGGCATTTGTGTGTATCTCACTGAAGGACTAGAACCAGTCATGGAAGAGCTGGGGGAAGGGTGTTCTGGAAAGAAAAAATAGCAAACCAGGACAAAGCCCCACCCCAACAGCAGAGAGAAGACCCAGGAGTCCTGGGCCTGTCCCGTTAGGTGGAGAAGTCAGTGTGACCTCAGACACCAGCCCAGGTGTCTGGACCAACACGGTCCCAGAGAAGGACAATGCAGCATAGAAATGCCAAAGCTTGGCTTCCAGATCCACACCACCATTCTTTTTTCCTTCTGGTGGTCCTTCTAGCCCTGGGCTCCCGGCTTTTCTGAAGCTCGGTTTGTTTCACTGTAAAAGCGGGGAAGGAGATGACCAACAGCACAGAGTTGTGTGACTACAATATAAGTCAGGGACCCAAAGGGCTCGCTGGTCTCCACGTGGTCTGGTTGGCTGTGAGTTGGCAGAGGGCACGCCTGCCCCTTTGAATCCAGCCTCTGCACCTTGCCGGCTCTGTGTCCTAGAGCAGGTTACTTAACATCTCTGAGCACCTCCAGACTTAGTGATGAAATCCCATACCTACGCTTCTCAGGAGCCATAAGGAGTAAATAAATTCACATCTATCAACGGCACCTAAAAGCATTTACATGCAGCAACTGTTCAAGAGGTGATTGTCATAAATAAAAACAATATTAGTAACTGGAGGTGAATTGCTCTTATGATGCAGTGCTTTTTATTTGGATATTTCTGGCTTTTGGCCACCGCCCTTCTCACTTAGTTCAACAGCATGCATTAACACCTAATTTGTTCCCAGTTGTCTACAAGACTGTAGTCTGAAGCCAACTGCTGGTTACCCTTTGAAGGCTGAGCTATAAATACATCAGGTCATCAGAAAGAGGAAGGAGCACACCTGGGCAGCCAAGAACATGTAAATTTGGCCAAAGGAGATTTCAGGGCCCGGAGCCCACCCAGTACCCTCTGGCATCTGCAGAGCAACTCTGGGCATCCATGTCAGGGACTGCAGGCCAGCTGGCTCCCCCTCCAGCTTCCTTGGGAAACCCCCTGGGGTCCCTCAGGAAGGCCACAAAGGCAGACAGCCTCATGCTCTAGGGAAGAGGGAAATGGCCCCCGGTGCAGAGGGTCCAGGGTTTGGTCCCAGCAGGTGTGGTGTTTCCCTCTGTGGACTGGAGGTGTCCGGAAGGTCTAGAACCTGGACGGCCCAGGAGGAACGAGCAGGTGAGTCCTGACGATCTTGGGTGCATTGTTGAACCCCTGAACCCCAGTTTTCTCATCTGTACAATGGGATGTTCTTGACCATTATAGAAAATGCATGAAGTCACCTGCCACATCGTAGGTGTTCAAGAGGACCCAGTTTCTTTTTCTCTCTCCTCTTAGTAGTATATTATCATTTCCATGTTGTATCCCAAACACTTAGAAATTTCCTGGCACAGGGAATGCTCAGTGAGTGCTTTTCAGAAGGATGAAGGAAAACTCAGAGACCCCAGATCAGACAGAATTCTCAAGGTGGGACAGAATTCACTGCAGGGTGCGACAGACTGAATACTGGCCCTGCAAACATGGCCATGCCCTGATACCTAGAACGCATAAATAGGTTGTTATATGCCAAAGGGGGCTTTGCAGACGTGACTAAGTTTAGGGGCCTTAATATAGGAAGATATCTGGAGTATCTAGTTGGGGTGGGGGCCAATCTGGTCACCTGACCCCTTAAAAGCAGGGAACTTTCTCTGTCTGGGGGCAGAAGAGATGCTGCAGAAGGGGAAGGCATGGAGATTCCAAGCATGAGAAGGATTCAACTTGCTGTTGCTGCCTCTGAGATACAGGGGCCTGCATCCAAGGACCAGACAGAAGCTCTGGAGCTAAGAGTGGCCCCCAGCTGATAGCCAGCAAGGACCTCAGTCCTACAACCACAAGGAGCTAGATTCTGCCAACAACCTGAAGAAGCCTGGAAGTAAATTCTTCCTCAGAGTCTCCAGTGAGAAATGCAGCCCTGATGACACCTTGATTTTAGCCTGGGGTGGCTGTGGCAGACTCCTGACCTACAGAAACTGTGATAGAAAAAATGCTGTATTGTTTTAAGCCAATTTTCTATGCTAGTAATAAAAACCAATACCCAGAACCTCCAGGTTATGAAGAAGTCAGAACCTCTAAGCTCCTTGGCTACTGTATACTTCTACCAAGCATACTGCAAGTATAACCGTCACCACTCTTTGTGGTGTCTGCTGAGAGCAAGGCTCCCATAACCCTCTCTTCCTTAATCATATACCGTCCTTCAAGACATCTTACCAAGACCCATGGACCGTTAGACTTTGGGCCCCTAGGGTACCAGGCAGGGTCGATTAAGACCAAGACTTTTTGGCTGGGAGAATATTGGGGGAATTTCACTGGAACTAAACATATCCCATACAATAGAATTCGAGTAATGTTCCAGACAAAGTCAAGATTTTCCCCAAAGATTTCACAAGTGCCGTGGTGAACTAATGTCCTGAATCCCTTCCCATTGATGGTACCCCTCCCAATTGTGTAACGGCTCACGATCATTTGATGGGTCATGCAGACAGGTGGGGATTCATGGGGGTGGAGGGGATGGGAACAGGGAGGGGGTGGGGGAAACTTTGCTGGGAGCACAGCTTGTTGCTACTTCCACCTTGAACTCTGATGTCACGTTGGGGGGGGGGGGAAATCCTTTAGTTGTGGTTTCACAGGCCATTAAGGTAAACGTCACCATTCGCCTCTCTTCTCACCCCTTTTCTTATTCGCAGAGGCTGCAGCTGGGTCAAGGATTTGGATGCGTGATGGTTCAGAACAAGATGTGGCAAACGCGATCAGCTGGGCCAAAAAGAACCAAAACTGTGGCCTGGTCTTCCAGCGACCTTCCCTTTAAAGATCTCCAGGGTGCCTGGGAGAGAAGGGAGACCAGCTGACCATCTCTTTCTGAGTTCATTTCCAATTTTAATATCAGATATCTGTCCTGATTTAATAATTATTTCCATCCCCCTTTTTACTGATGAGAAAGTAATTCGGGTGGGTTTATGTAAGGTGCCGCAGTGTCCAGAAATGTCCAGGAGAAGCTAGCACGAGACACAAAGGAAGGTTGTTTGCCATGAGCAGCAGCAAACAGTAACCCGGACCCAGGCTGAGCTCTGCCAGGATCATACATGAAATTCCTCGTTTCGTTCTCAAGTGAAGGGAGGGGTGAAAAATCCATTTCCCCGAAATCCAGAGGAGTGAGAAATCCTGCCCAAGACCACACCCTGTAAGAGGGATTTGGCCCCAGAAGGCTGGCACGAGGGCTCAAGCCGTGAATATCCATACCATGCTGCCTCTGTGTGACCACAGAGGAGGGGACTTGGAAACAGGCTCTTTGAAGGATGGGCTGAGGTTAACCGTGCAGGGGTCGGGGGCAGGGGCTGCTGCTGGGTAGAGGGCCTATCATGAGGCGAAGTTCAGGGTCAGCCGGGGATGCTAAAGAATCATCAGAATTGACCTTGAGAGCCTCCTGCAAGGTACAGTAGACACAGTCATGATATGGGCCCTCTCGGTGGTGGAGCAGCAGGAAGCAGGCAGGCTGGGAGGACTGCGGAGGGCCCGGGCATGCCAGCCCCCCGAGGGCAGAGGCTTAAGGCCAAACCCGCCAGTCCTAGCCAGCTCCTCCTTTTCAGCCCTGGAGCTTCTTGGGCTGTCGTGGTGGATTCCTATAGACCAAGTCCAGGGGAGGCAGCTTCCCGTGCAGGGAACAAAGGGGCCGCCTCCAGGGTATGCCCCACCCCAGTGACTTCACTGGCCACAGAGCCACACATGCAGACAGCAGATGACATCATAACCACAGCCGTGGACCGGCCCGCCGGGTGACATCACAGGCCCCGAATAGCTCCGACGTATGTTAGCAGTTGAGAGAGAGGGAGCAAGGTCACCGGGGCCCTCTACGGCCAGCCTCTGCCGTTCCTCTGGGGCCCTCTGGGGATTCTTCCCCAGCTGCTCCTTAGATCAATCGGCGACTTACGACTTGGATTGCAGAGGCATAAGAATCATTACTGAAAGCAGACCAGACAAAGGAGAGAAACGAAATCACCCCAAACCCCAGTACCCAGAGAGATACACTCACGTCGTTCAGAGTGTTATATCTTTCTACTTTGAGCATTTATGAACATACTCCTGTAGCATATAATTATTTACACACTTAAATAACAAAAAGGCACATATACTATATACCATTTTGTGCCCTTGCTTTAAAAGAAACTTTTTTAATCAAATGTGGGCACTCACTGCATCATTAATTATTCTTCTAAGTAAATTTTAATCACGGTGTGTTACTTTAGTACTGAATTTAGTACTAGTACGAGTATTACTCTGAATCTTGCAGTGTTGGAGGGAGGTTAGGCTCTGATATCTTGAGTAAAAATCATATACAGCCAAAATTAACCTTGAAAATCTCCTGTAAATGTCCAATAGGTAGAGTTGTGGTACAGAGTACGCCCCTTTTAAATCTATGACAGCTTCTTCTCTGATGTTGGAGCAGATCTCTGTCTTTTTGGTTCATCACAAAAAAGCAATAGGTAGCTTGTATTTATAGGCATTTGAGTTTTTAAATTTCCATATTTTCATCATACCATTATTATTCCTATTGACTTAGTGCATAGAGCTGACTCTTCACAAGGCAACGCAAACACGATGCAGTTTCACCACGTTCTGCTTTACTGGACCTTCTTCAGCTTCACTTCGACCTCCTCACTGAGGACCAAGGAGGAGATCTGAAGGTCCAAACAGTCCCACCACAGAGACCACATTGTATAGCACTGTAGTCGCATAGAAGGTCAGAGCTTGCAGGGACATCTGGGATCGTCTTGTCCCCATCTGCCATTTTCTAAATGGAAACTGAAGCTTGGAGAAAGGAAGGGACCCACAACAGGTCAACAGCAGCTGGACCACATGTTATCAGGGCCCCCAGGCGAGGCTGGCGGGGACACTGGGGATGATGTATCCTGGCCTCACCTTGACTGGCCAGGTGGGGTCACCAAACTCCCACTCCTGGACTCTTTTATATAAACATGACACCTTGGGGTGTCCACAGGGCATGGATGTTTATAACTCGTCTGTTCTCCACACCAACTCGGGCAAGTAGGCCAGAGAGAGAGCACTTATCATCTGCATTTTACAGATGGGAAACTCAGGCTCAGACGGGGTGAGTGACTTGCCCACCATCACAGAGCTGTTCCCTTGGGTCTCCTTGGGTCATTCATCTGACACACTCCAGGGCATTTTTTCATCACGGTGCACTTCCTCTCACCCACTGTGTCACGCTGTGTTTTGTAAGATGGTGGGGAAATAGAGCCCCTTCTAGTACCTTCCGAGTAGCCACAGTGGGATTAGAGCACAGGGCTCCTAACTGCAGGCCAGTGTTCTTGGAACTCTGCTTTCCATATTTATGTTGTTGGCATCTATGTCGTTCAGAACAAGTTGCGCCCCTCTGGGGAGGCCCCTGTAGCTTCGTGGCCTGGTGACAGGCAAGAGGTGGATTTCAGCCACTGCCCTTAGCCCACTGGTGGGGACTAAGCCGATGCCGCTGTGCGGAACGGGACGTCCTCCGTCAGACACAAGGGCGTGTCTGCATCGCCTAACCAATTTCTCTGCAGTTGACTACAGAGCTCTATCCCTCTGGCTGGACATCTATTTGGAATAGTCATATTTTTCCTCCTCAATTCTTTGTTCAAGTTCTTAAAGGTGCAGAATTTCTTCCAGCTAGGCCACCCCCTCCTCAACCCTGCTGGGAAAATGGGAGGTGATGGTAGACCTACCTTCATGTTACAGGCTGCTGAACACCCAAAGCTAGAAGCTTCTGCCTGAGATGTTACTCTTTTCCTCTGTAGACAGTGAGCTCTGGGGAGGTCAAGAAAGCATAGAGCTTCAGACCTGCTCCCTGCAGAGGCCAGGCCGAGCCTCGGGGTCAGGCGGCGTCACACCCTCCAGCCGTCTCCTCTGCCCAGCCTCCCACTTGCTTACCCATGGAACTCTTCCTATATTGTCCTCTTCTCTTCTTTCCAGGCTCTGGCCTCTCTCTCCCTGCCCATCAGAAGAGATCGGGAATCCCTATTATGGTATCAGGTGAGTCATCTTCACCTACGGCCAATCTGGGTCCACGTCCCGAGGAGGGTGGCGGAGAGAAGTGTGCTTGTCCGGACGCAGAAGGCCCTCTATGGCATTTTTCTAAACCAGAGAGTCACCCAGCATCATCAGTGACACCATCCCTTCCAGCGTATTCTATCTCTAGCTACATCAGGACAGTTCAGAGGCTTTGCAGGCGTCCCTCAGCACACCCCTCGATGGGTTCCACCCTGCCCCTCCCCAACTACTGCACCCAGGCAAGGCCCCAGTTCCAGTGGCGTTGCCCATTGGGCACGGGTTGTGTCACTTCTTCCCTTCACGCTAGCTCAGCAGGAATGAGTGAGTAAACACTGCTCCTTTCTGTGTGGCAGGGAGGGTGTACGCATAGGTCGGGGCCGGCGGTGGTGTGAGTGCGTGTTGCGCGTGTGACAAGCTGGAGATTGTGTGTAGGCACGTGCTCCCTCGTGCTGGTCCTGGCGGTGGCGTGTGTCCTCACGTATGCCCGAGCTGGAGGTCAGGGGGCTGAAGGGCAGGAGGACATCGGTATATGACTTGAGGGTTCCCAGGCCGCCTCTCGCCAAGTGGTTTCCTCTGAAGCTCAGAATCAGCCCACACGGCCTGGGACGGAAAATACCAGCGTCAGCAGCCGGTCCCTGACTCATTCCGAAAGCCCGCAGTCCTGCCGCCGACAGATGGCCCAGAGCCTCCGGCCTGCGCCCCTCAGCTTCCAGGTGGTGCCTCTGAAGACCCGTTTCCTTGCCCACAGCTCGGAGGCCCGTGGAAACCCTTTACCACCGCCATCCCCTGACTCCCTCCGTCTGGCTTGTTCTTCTGCCCAGAACACAGCTCAGCCTTCCACCTTTGCCCTCGGTGTTCAAAATCTCCCCAACCAGAGCCTTCCCAACTCGCCCCAGGAGGTCCTGGAGTGTCGCCGAAGTCCCACAGGTCCCAGCGGCCATGTCTGCCCTGCTGTCCCTTTCTTTCTCTCCTACTCACGCTCCCTGTGGGGACCTGTCACCCCAGAGCCAGGGGCATGTGACGCAGCATCAGCTCTGCTGAGACAGGGCACTGGGACCGTGTCCAGCCGAGGAACCACCAAAAAGTGCACATTTTCATACCCCAGAATGCGCACCCCAGACGCCTCACCCCGTCCAAGACCCTTCCCCTACCCTGTGGTGAGAGCCCGGGGGTGGGGGCTGGCACGTGGGGCAAGACAGGGGAATATTTGCAAGCATGTCAGTCAGCAGGACAGGTGTCCATCATACAGTCAGACCAGGGCATCCTGGTGCATCGAAAGGCAGCTTCCAAATGGCCACATCGAAGGGCCCCAGGGTGCTGCCTCCTTCTGTGCTGGACGTTGTATCCCATAGGCTGGGGCTGCCCTGAGGCCACGCTGTAATTTCACGGGTGGACCTTCTGCTGCCACGGAGAGAATCAGTGCTGGTGCTTGGCTGGAAGGCACTGGAACCACCACGCTGGTGATTTACAGGCAGCAAGCAGGCTGGAAAGCTGATTCACTTGCCCTGCCTGTTGTGAAATATTCGCCCCTTGGGGTCGGGGAGGGAATCCCTCCCACCCACTCCCCATCCAGCACCCCCTACACTCACTCATGCATTTGGAACCTCACTGCCATTAAGACACCTCAAAAGCCCCCTTGCCTCTCAGGTTAGCAATTTCTTCTGAGTGAACTACATCGTCTATTTCTGCCTCTAGCCCCCTCTTCCTTGGTGTCAATAGATGGTGAGCAGAGCCAAAGGGAAATTTCACACAGCCTTGTCTTCCCAAATCCCCTCTCCTAGCTGCTTCACTATCTAATCCCTCCCTCCTGTATCTGTCCTTGATTTCTGCATAAAGCCCCAATTGCTGCTGGGTTCCAGGATGCTCTCTGGAACGACCAGGGCACCAGCAGGACTTCCACACAGCCCAGGAGGACACTGCCTCGCAGAAACAAGGCTGGGCCCAGGGAAAATAGATGCTCTGCTTACAGGCTGTGTTATCGTTGCTTGAAAAGCCGTCAGAGAGGAAGTTCATGACCTACCACCTGAGGAACCTTCTGATCATTATTGCAGTAGATTCTGAATTTTACTGTCACCAAAACAGGTAACAAAAATTCAACTTAAAGTCTATTTTGAGGACCCATTTTTGCCAGGTAACAGAAAACACAATGTAGTCATTTCTTGACAAATTGAGTCACTGCGAGTACATGTGGGGACTCTTTGGGGTGACCAGGCAGGAACAGACATTCCCCTGCCTCTTCTCTCACCAGGAGACGTCTGAATCCTGGATCTCAGGGCATTGACAGGGACTGAATGTCTGGTTCATGTCCCCATATGTCCCTTAATGATGTCCACCGGATGTAAATATTCTCTGCCAAGATTTGATCTTTGCAAGTTGGGATCTCAGGAAAACAGCGGTGGGGCAGGCTTAGCTCAAGGTGGGAGAGGCACAGCTGGACCACAGCCTGGCACCCTGGCCCCAATCTGCTATTCTTGTTTCAAGAAATGATGCATTGATCATGTTGGTCAATCTTTGACCCATTGATTAGAAGTACATACTGCATATTATTTTTAGTAGCTCTACATTTTAATCCCCAGTGGTGCTACAGGTGAGGTAAAGGAAGTTGCTGGAGTAGACTTGGCCTCGATATATAGAAGCTACTACTTGGTATGTAGTAGGAAAATGGGCTTTGGAGAAGACAGATGTGGGTTTGTAATAAGAGTGTGAACTCCTGGGCTTCCCTGGTGGCGCAGTGGTTGAGAGTCCGCCTGCCGATGCAGGGGACACGGGTTCGTGCCCTGGTCCGGGAAGATCCCACATGCCACGGAGTGGCTGGGCCTGTGAGCCATGGCCGCTAAGCCTGCGCGTCCGGAGCCTGTGCTCCGCAACGGGAGAGGCCACAACAGTGAGAGGCCCGTGTACCTCAAAAAAAAAAAAAAAGAGTGTGAACTCCTGACACACAAGAATTAAAATGTGTTCTGAAAACATTGTGGACTATAGGATGAGGACTTGGGCTTGAAGGGTCTTCCTGAGGAAAGAGACACACATTTCTTACAAGGTCTCTATTTTTTTCTTTTAAGATTGTCCATTGCTTTTTTTTTTTTTTTTTTTGTCCATTGCTTTTTAATTGTAAAAGTCACACAAATTTGTTATGGGAAATTTCGTAAAAATGATATGAATAAAAAAATTTAGTCACCCATAATCCCCCCAGAAATGCCGGAAATAATTGTCATAAATATTTTGACAAAGCTTCTTCTGGCCTTTTGTCTCTGTGTGTGAGTATGCGTAGATTTACATAATTATGCTAATCTTTTGCATACACTTTGCATCATGTTTTGTTGTGTTTTTGTTCGTTTTCTTGTATCTACTATTATACCATGAGTTCTTTGAATTTTCCACTAAGATATCTGTGAAGCCACCAAAGTACAAGGTGAAAGAGAAACTTAAATTTTTTTTTTTTTTTTTTTACCTTTTTAGCATATTATGTTCTGGTCGCTGAGTGTTTAATATATCACATATCACCTCTCTTCGCAACAGCCATAGAAGGGAGGTACTACTTTTCCCCCCATTTTACAGATCAGGAAACTAAGATTTAGATGGGTAAGTAATGTGTACGAGATAACAGATACTAAGCTGTGGAAATAAAATTGAGTTGATCCCACACCATACCATTCATTCATTTATCCATTCACTCTACAAATGACTGAGTGCTTCCATTGCCAGGCATTGCTCTGGAATACATCAGTGATCAGAACAGGCAAAAAGAAATGCCCTCATGAAGTTACTGTCTATTGGGGGTCAGTGGGTTGAAAATAGACAATGAATAAAATAAACACAAACATCTTATAGTATAATAAATGGTTATGAATGCTATGAAGAATTAACAGGGAAAGAAGAGGAAGTGAGATGGGATAGTATCGCAATCTGAAATAGGATGCTTAGGGCAGACCTCAAGGAGACAGTGATATTTGAGCAAAATCTTGAAGGAGGTGAAGGAGGACATCGGAAAGAATGTCCCCCAGAGCCGGCAGCACATGCAAAGTCCCTGAGGCCGAGGGTACTTGGACCGTGGGCAGGAGAGAGGGGTGGAGAAGATAAGACTTGAGATTTGAGTCAAAGGGTCCAGTCAGTCTTGTAAACCAATGTCGAGACCCTGGCTTTTCCTTTAGATGAGACGGGATGGCATTAGAAGACTCTGAATAGAGTGACATGGTCCAGCTTGTATTGAAGAAGAATCCCTCTGGCTTTCGTGTGGAGAAAAGGCTGTAAAGGGAACAGGAATTAAAAAGAGCAGAGTTAAAACTGTACTTAGCATTTTGTAATAACCTATAAAGGAAAAGAATCTGAAGTGTAATAGATATATACACATATATGTATAACTGAATCACTGTGCTGTGCACCTGAAACTAACACGACGTTGTAAATCAACTATACGTCAATTTAAAAAAAAATTTTGTTTAAAGCATTAAGAAGCTATTGCAATGATCCAAGACAAAGATAAAGGGGGAGGGGTTGGACCTGGGTGATAGAAGGCAATGTGAGAAGTGGTCAGATTCCAGATCTACTTTGAAGGAGGCAGAGAGGACACAGGAGTGTGGGCGCCCTGAGAGTTACTCCAGATGATACTCGAAGCTTTCAGGTTAGATGACGTCACCTGAGAGGTGTGTTCTAGAGAAGACAGACGTCTGAGAACTGAGCCCAGGGCCATTTAACAAGCAGAGGCTGAAGAGGAACCAAGAAAGTTGAGGTGGTGAGACGGAAAATGAGTCTCTTTTGAGAGTCTGAGTTGATCCTCAAGCAAGTTGAGTGAAGTGAGTCAATGCCTGAGGTGCGTTAGTTTATCACATCCCCACCCTTCATCCTCTCCCCAGTTTATAGATGAGGGAACTTGAAGTTCAGAGGCAAGAAGGGAATTATTGAAGGTATCAAATAAGGATGTAACGGAACTGGGATTGAAGCCTTTTTCTGGGTGATGTGGTGATGGGCAGCTTTCTTGGACTGGCTGTGTCCTACACCCACGCGTCAGACAGGTTCGTGTGAAAGTGTGCATTTCTACACCAGCCTTCCACCAGGACAGAAAGGGAGTTGATCTATACACACTCCAGCATCCTCCCTCCATGGGTGGGATAATTCTGAGCCACATTCTGCACTCCCTCCCAGAGCTCCCCATGGGGTTGGGCCCCCGTTGCCCTGGTCACCGCTGTGCGTTGATGATGTTCCTTGCATTCCCTGTGTCCCTTGACCATTCTCTTAGTGGGAGTCCCCAAGTCACCTCCCAATAACTCCCTTGCACTTGAATTCTCATCTCAGGACCTTCCTCTGAAGAAACTCAAACATAGACTCGTCCACATTCTGGACAAAGAATGTCGCCTGTCATTTCAGTAAACAAAGGATGTTGCGGCCATAAAGCCACCAGCCATTGCAGCTGCCCCTGCCGCCCTCCCTCAGCTGTGCACCTTGAGGGGATTCAGGATGGAGAAAACCAGGATGCTCGCCCTAGATAGTTAAGATGCACATCAAAGGAATAATTTCATTTAGCCCAGACTCTTGCATCTCCTCATACATAGAAAAGTGTTAAATTCATTAACTTGAGATGTCTGTTTTTTCTTTAATTAGATTACTATCTTTTGATGTTTGACCATCTGTTTTTGTTTTTGGACAAAACACCTATATATCCCGGCTGCTCCCTTACCTCTTCGGAACAGTCCCCCAGAGCAATCCAAGAGACTGTATCCTGGGCTATAGTCCTCAGTAAGACTGCTGAGTAAAACATAATTTTCAGCTTTTAGATTGTGCATTTTTATTCAATCGACAGTATGACGAACAAAGACACAGAGCCTGGGGAGGAGAATAGACACGTCCCAGAGGCCCTGCTGTGTCCGTAATCCAGGAGGGGGTGAGGGAAGGCTTGCCATGCACATCGAGCCTGCGTGTGTGAGACACGTAGATCTGGGCACGCATCCTCGTGTGCATGTGGGTGGGTATCCATGTCTGTGGGCCAGCTCATAAGCTAAATATAGGAAAGGAAAATGTAAGCAGCTTCTTATGTAAATATTGAGCAACCGAATAATTTTCTTTTCTTTCTAGTCATTTCAGTTTCTGAAACTTTGCTGCCCTTCCCCTTGGATGGAGGGTAGGAGTGGAAGTGGTGGAAAATGAGGTTATTTTTGTCCTGGGGATTTCAGGGTTCCTCCCTTTATGCATGTCTCGCCTCTCTCTCACCCACCTGAGCCTCCAAAGGGAAGATCTACTGAAGAGAGGAGGTTCTTGTAACCTTGGCAAAGAAGACAGTGCCTCTGCTCATCTGGATCGCAGATAATCCACTGAAAGACACAGACCCACCCAATGGCTCCCCGCTGCCATCCCGCCCCTGGTATCCCAGCCCGAGAGAAAAGGGGTGGGCAGGCACCAGAGCTGAAACAGTTCTAGATCTGATGATGGAACTGTAGGTTTGCACTTCACCTACATTTGTGACAAATGTAAGTCGTTCAACCTTTCTGAGTCTAAGAAAGGGGGTGATGGAGGCTGCCTTGCAGTCCTCAGGGTGGCTGTGAGCTTCAGATGTGCTTAGAAGCCAGTGGAGAACA